CAGGCTTGTGTGTGTGTGTGGTTATAGCCCTGGTATCTTGACGGTTGTGTAGTTTTTCACACAGAGCTATGTTAGCCCAACAGCCGCATCGCAACTAGTGCTCTTAGCCAGTGTGGGGCTACGCATGAAAGGCACTCTGGCAGGAAGTTGTGGGAAAATATGTGACTGTTATGTGAAATCACCACATGACAATGACGTTCACGCACACAATCTCTCTCTCCCTCCCTGCTGACTACTTGCTCGTGTACATACTCCCCTCCCTCCCCGCCTACCTGCCTTGCGATTCTCTGCTCTCGAGTCGCCACTGGTGACGAGTAATTAGTAATTTCGAAGTACCACCTAAATAGTTACTCCAGCCTCTCACTTAAGGACACGTGTTTTTAAAGCTCTTAGTAGTTTCCGCATCACAATATTTGCTTTTCGCACCCCCCTCCCCTATTTTGGTTAGATACCAGACGCCCTCTGGAGGAGGACTGCATAGCCTTCGTTACACGCGAGACCCTCCGGGGTCTCAAGCACATGCATTCGCTCAATCGCATCCACCGTGACATCAAAGGTGCCAACATCCTGCTCACGGATGCGGGCTGTGTGAAGATTGCGGACTTTGGTGTCGCCGCAAAGTTGAGCAATTCGATGGTCAAGCGACGTACCGTGATCGGTACACCTTACTGGTAAGTCGCTTCCGACTTGGTCTTAATCAATGTACGTACTCTAATGTGGACGCAAAAGGCTTTGGACATTGTATCAGCCATTTCTGATCAATCCCATCGACCACAGGACGACTATTGATAGTTTGACCATCCATTTCGATGTAGTCCACCATGTGTCTAGAAGCAGGGACCGGATTTAAAGTGAAGTAGACGTGCAACTGTCTACCTCACTCTAAACCCTCTTCCCGCTTGAACCGATGACAAGACAAAAGTCAAGGTAACCGAACAGGAATCGGGCGTAGGCCGCTTTCACCAATGCAGGCCAGAACACCGCCTAACTTAGTCTTAAGTGGCAGTAGTCTTTTGCGCTGATACTACCGCATTATTTATCCTCACTCACCTTCAGTAGGTGTCAAGCCAGACTCAAGGAAACCAAGCCTGGTATTGCTACTGTTATTCCTAATACTACTAACTAGGGGTGTAGCTGAATGGTAGTATTGCTGGTGCTATTTCTGACTGAAGTGACGCTTATTAAAGTCAACACTGAGCTCATATCCCCTCAATCTCAACATGAAGTATGGTAGTGATGGTACTAAGACTGACGCTACCATTTGTCAGAGGTGACGCTGATTAAGCCAACGCTGTGACAACAAGGAGTGTGAATCTGGGTTTACGCTATTCCGAGTAAATACATGTTGAGGGCCCAGCGCACATCAGGGCTTTCCTTGATTTCCGCCCTCTCACCTCTGTCCACCGAAAGCTGTGTAACATTTTACTAAGTTTGGGCTAGGATACTGCTACTAAAGGTAATATGCGACTGCTAAGACTGCTAATTCTATTAATCAGATTTACTAAAAC